CTGGCTTTGTGGCCATCAGGTTAAGCTTTAACTCACTGTGGACAGAGAGGAAAAGGGAACAGTTTGCACAGGGGAAGGATTCTCAACACTGATCACTGCCAAGACACAAAAAGTCAGCACTTGGATGGTATTAAAGTTAATTTTTACTTTTGCGTCTCCAGGGCATTAACACCAAAAGTTATAAATCTCATTTTCCCCCCTGAAGTCTAAAGCTAAACTTCACTTGATACACTTACATTTGAGCAACACATTATTGTGCATTCTACTTACTGTATTATTTTAAGCAAATGAATACATTATATTCATAATAAAATGAATTAAGGACAATCTGAAGCAGAGTTAAAATACTACAACCTTAGCTTTCTCCCCAATTTTTTTTCACTTAAGTAAAAAAAAATAGGTAATCACTTAAGTTATAAAAGTTATGCACCCACCCTGTATCAATAAAATGTAACTGAACCACAACAAAGAGATTATGATACCCAAGCTTGCTATGTTTGTACTTCTGGGCCAAGAAACTTTGTCCTGAAGGTGCAGGCTGTATTTCCAAGCAGTACGGAGGGAAAATCAGAACACACTATTGCTCGTAGTCCTTCTTGCTACATCTCACATACAGGACTTTCCCTTTCAGAAGACAGGAGATTTTAGAATTAAGTTTATTTGCCCATCTTGGAAAATAAATGAAATGGAGAAATTTCCTAATAGAAAACTAAGTTTATATATTTAGAAGCAATCAAATTGTACGTTTTGCCTCAAAGCAGTAATGAAGCTAATCAGCTTTATAATTCCTCCATTTTATAGCTATTAGGTAATACATAGATTTGGATGTTCAAAGCAAATAAATTGACAGTACCAAGATGAGAGAGTAGATTTCTCTCTTATCCATGATTAAGATAACACTTTTTCATTACTGAGTATATTTGACATTTAAACTGCTTAAATGCAGCATTTGCTAAATTTCATTTTCAAAAGAGTATAATAGAACCAGCTATTGAATACTTTTTCATGGTATGGTATAGAATCCCCTAAATCCCAAGAGATCACTTGCATTAATTTTGCCAAGGAACATCCCCATAAACCAGCTGACCAAAAAAAAATGACTCACTCCTGCTTCCGTCTTTATCATGGAAGAAGCTCTGGTCTGTGAGTCAGGAAGTTCAGCTGGGCTGTCAGGATGAACTAGAAGGAAATCACTTGAGAGACCTGTCTGTGTTTCTCTTCTGTCAAGGACACTGTTTACAACGGTGTCACAAGGGAAAAAATAAAGACATTCACTGGGTCAAAATATTGCATAAATTATTTCCCTCTTGAAATCACTTCCTTGAACTGCACTTTCCAAAATACCACAGCATTCTTCTTTGATATCTGCTCATATTTAATCAGAGCTTCTTTACTTTCATGAATTTTCTTCCAAGGTAATCAGTAGCTTATAAATTAGAAGTGGGGGCACAGGAAAGAGCAAAACTGGTTCTGTACCAGTTTAAGAGCACTGATTTTTGCAGTGGAAAAACTTCCCTCACCAGAGTCAAAGGGATCCACCAAAAACTGGCATCATCATAAACTTGTGAACAATCTATGTTTTATTTTTTTTTTCAAACTTCATTAACATTAACTTTAGTCAAATTCAAACAAATAACTGTGGGAGAGTTGACTAAACCTAATTTCCTTTTGCAGTTTGTCTGAAAGTGCTTACATTTGAGATGTGCTCAGCCACCAGATGTTACTCTCCTAAAGAAGCAAGTTCAACTCCCCCACTCTCATTCTTACACCCCTTCCCCCCAGGGTGGGGGTGGGCCAGGGTTTCTCCGGTAGCACAAGGTGCATTTTCAAACAGGTTAATCCCTGACGGTAGTTGAAGGTATGTATATAGTCCTTTCTAGAATTCAGGGATTGCTTCAATAAAGGGGTTAGTGGAGACAGGGAACCAGACAAAGCCCTCCTTTCTACTTTATCCATCAACACACTCCTCAATATAAAGCAAGCTAATCCTCATAGAAAAGGATAGGTCTACAAACTGTTGGGATTCCATGCCCACCTCTATCCATCATAGGCTTACTAGTTCTCAAAAGAGGGCAGGCATGCCAGGTTGTATACTTCTATAAAAGCATAGTCTCCATGTGCTTTAGATCAGAATTTGGAAACTCAAGCCATGATCTGTAAAGAAAGCAAGTTTGTTACAGTTCCCACAAGGAAGTATAGTCACAGTATCTGTTGTGTTTATAGGTTCCAAAGAAAGCACACACTAATCTGAGGGCGGACCACAGCATATGTCCTGCGTTAACTGATGCTGCATTTCTAAGTGACTGCCTTTCTCCACAACTCGGATAACTCAAACTCAATATTCAACGTTTTCAAAATACCGACCCAAAATCTAATTTTTAAAACTTAGGCAATTGACCTTTTCAATAAATGTCTTCCATTTCTAGCAGAAGAAATCAACCACAAAGCAAAACAAAATAATCAATCTCCTACTTTTAGGTTTTAAAATGAGAGAGAGGAATATACAACCTCAATTTACAAAAGTTCACAAGCAAAGAAATACTCTGGTAGTCCCTGCCTCATTCAGAGTACTTCTATCTTATGCAGGGGATACTTAACAATGTGAGACAATATCTTGTCTTAAGGAGCTGACTATAGAGAAGGAGTACACTGCCTAGCCTATTCACAAGAAAAATTAGTCATACACCACCCATCAATGTCAAATGAAGAATATTACCCTATAGCAATGCCACATAATAAAAGTGCCATGCTCAGCTCACGCACTATCAGTGCTACAAAATTCAGTTTCACCTAAGTTCCACCTACCTCTTCTACTAAAAAAATCAAATTATTTAAACAGTATACAACTAAACTACTGGGGTTAGGTCCAATCAGTCCAACAATCTAAATTAATTGTTTCAAAACAGATACTGCATGTGGCACAAGAGCAAGATTTTACCACCCCAGATTATACATCACGAGTGATGGTTCAGTTTCTCTTAGCACTAGTCGGGGCAACTTAGCCTAGCTTTGAAGTCTCCCTGAAATTCAAAAATATCTGCCATCTTCTCCATATGTTCTCTTTGAATCTCAAAGGGTACCTACTCTCCCACACAACACAATGTCTAAGTGAGCTTAGACTGCATTCCAGATGCAACTGAAGAAAATGGACATTAACAACTTGTGAGATATACTTCCATTATGCAGGCTAAGAAAACAACAGACCTCATGGCCTTGCGGTTTTGTTCCTAGTTCAAGGGCATGTAGGAAGGCCAAAGAGAAGAGCAGAATATGTACAGTCCCCCTATTTCAATTACTGGCATGTTGAACTACCACACTGATAACTCAGACTTTTTCATCTTGTAGCAAAGAACTTTTAGCAGAAACTGCTCTTTGTACACTTATACTGAGGCTTTGCAGCTCCCTTTTAACACCTCGCCTCAACATTAAAGAGGCAGCCTAGAAGCAAGGAAATGCTGCAGAGCAGCCCAGGCATCAGGCATTGCTTTACCTGTGTGACTTCAGGCAAGAAACAGACTGGCTGGGCCTCAGTTTCCTTAAAGAATACAAAAAATAAAAGTACCTACCTATTTAGGTGACTGAGAAGAGTCAAAGAGGTAATCCAATTACAGTTGCTGTGCCTGGCACACAGCAGTGTCTAATTTAGCTATTATCTCATTTTATTCTTAATTAGTGTAAGAGTTCAGGCATTGAAGTCACTCACACCTGAGTTCAAATCCCAGCTTTATATTATTGAGCTCAGTTAGAGAGTATTTATTTCTTTGATCAAGATATCTTAATCTAAGGTTTTAGGCCATGGACCCTTTTGGCAGTTAAATTTCACTAATGGTTAGCAAAAATAAAGATGCAACTTTTTTTTTCATCCAAGTTTTCCTACTACTTGGCCCCAAGTTAAGAACCCCTTTCTTAGAACAACCAATGAACAGGGCAGGGGATAAACCACTGAGCTTCGAGAATTAAACAAATATACAAAGCAGGTAGCACCTAGAAGGTGCTCTATATAAAGAAGTTCTTCTTCTCCCTAGAAAATTCTATCTCTTAGGAAAAAATTTCAAAGTCTTATCTAGCCCAAACTTCAACATTAAAGTATCTATTTCTCTCAGTGATCCATCTGGGTCTTCAGACTTGAAATACACTTAGCCTTCTAAGACGTCCCCAAATCACTACACTACATCAAATACCAACTTGAAGAGCCCTCCTGTTATTTTAACTATGTAACACCAAACTGCTTTCTAGTAAAACAAAGTTTAAAAAGAACTAAGTTTCCCTTAACTCCAACTGCTGTCAACTAAAATAAAATCAGACACAAGTTTGAATCTTATAATAATCACCAATTCCTTGTCATCGCTCTTGAACGCTCATTACAAAAAAAGGTATGAAACTACGGACAGTCAGAGCTTGAGGCTCTCACAACAGTGTCTCTCTGACAGCAACTGCAGTTCATTATCCTCTCCCCTTCAACCTGGTACACTCCCGGTCTCTGCCTACTCAGCAGATTCACGCAAGCTGTGCCGTTTTATGTGGAACCGTACATTTTATCACCAGGCCAATTCTCAACCACCTTCTCCAAGGCAAACTGTTTTACATCAATCGATTTCTAAAATTCTGCTCAAGACATTAGGAAAAAAAAAACCAAAAAACAAAATCAGGGGAACCAAAGGGTGGTGCATAAAGAAACTAAATGAAAATGTGGGCAAAGGCAGACAAGTTAAATCAATTTACTCTCTCTGAAAATAACTATTTTTGGAAGAGGAGATTTAATTTGAATCTTGAACTCAATCCCTCTCCTCTACTCCGCAGAAACTGGTATGTTCTTCAAACTGTTTTGTATCTGACATTCAATAATGTAGCACAGCACCAGGAATGATGAGAAAGCAATGACAAAGCTGCTTCCTGCCCGTCTTCGTCGCAGCACCCCAACCCTCCTCACCCCACCCCGCAACATTCCAGTCCCCGAGCCTCTAAGAGATTTTAAAAGTTTCTCTCGGTGCCTGGCTTACCTTGACTGGGCTGCCATAATTCACTCTGTGGAGCTCCAGGTCTTCAGTCCATGAGAGCCTTCACCCCGCGGCCCTCCCGCCGGCGCCGCGCTCACCATTGGCCGGGGCCGGGCGGGGACGGTTCCCCAGCGCGACTCCCGGCGCGACGGGACTACCTGCTCCCCAGCCCGGGCGTCCTCAGCGCAGCCTCGCGCTCCGACCGTATTGGCTCGCGCTAATCCTGATGGACATCCGGGCACCCGGGCCTCTGCAGGCGAATTACACTTTGGACCGGCCCGGACCGTCGCGTCCAAGTTCTGAGCGAGCGAGACCCCCCGGGGCGATTTCGGAGAAGGGAAATCGACGGGGCCCGCACCCACAGCCCACCTGCGCACAGCCCCACCGAGCGCCTCTAGAACTCGGCCCCGCGTTAGCAGGGAAAGGAAATCGTCCTTAGGCTCACTTCAAGTTGTCCGAGTTCGCCCGAACACCCCCTGTCAAGAAAGTTCTGGTGGTACGGTCCGCCTCCTTAAATGGGCACGGCGCTCGGCCGGCAGAGCTGCAGGCTGCGCCGGGTGGGGGCCCCTGGCTCGGGCCCGAGCGCCGAGGCGGCCCGGCGCGTTCGCTCGCGGCCGAGCCCCGCCTGCAGGCTCCCGGCTGGTGCTCTCTTGCCAGGTTTTAACAATGTACAAACGCACACCGCCGGAACACACAGTACCCGGCCGCTCGGAACTCCAGCTCCAACGTGACTGTTGAATGCTGGGCCCCGAGAGGCCGCAGTGAGCAAGGCATAAAAACCACAGCACTAAACCGTTCGCTCCTTTTGATCATTCCAATGCTTGCAGTCAGGAAATGTGCGACTGAGGCACACTTGTTTTACTTTGTTCGCTTTCAGTTTTGATTCATCACATCGAGAAAAATATTTACAAAACGCCGTCCCTTTTTTGGACAACATTCAGATTACAAAGAAAACAGTAACTCATTTTGGTCCTTGAAGAAGTAATTAAGGAGCTGACGTATTTTTAAAATTACTGAGGAGGCAGACCAATAATACAGTAAACTATAAGAAGTACAAACGAAATCGCGTCCTACTAAGGGGAGTAGGGGAGGCATTTACACTTAAACTGTGCCTAAGGCTAAGCAGGAAGACAGTTCGATGGACAGAGATGGAGGGAGATTGTGCTTCAGCATCTCATGGGGACCAGCTGGAAACCCTTAAATGAATGCTGAATGAATGCCTGCCCTGTGGACTCCCCATTCTACCTAGAACCATGACAGTGTTGCCCATCTCACAGAGAGATACTCCAGACGATTGCTAAGAAGCCATGGCATACAGACCCGTTGACCTTTGCATGAAAAATACAATGCTGGGAGAGTGGAGTGGAAGGAAGGCCCACTGCATCTCTATCAGCGGTTCCCAAAGTGCAGTGGACTCCTGGGAGTTCCTAGACCTTCTCAGAGGTCAAAACTATTTTTAGAATAACACAAAGACGTTATTTGTCTTTTTCACTGTGCTGACATTCGCACTGATGGTGTAAAAGCAGTTGTGGGAAAACTGCTGGCGCCTTAGCACTAATCAAGGCAGTGACAGCAAATGGAACTAGCAGTCACTGCATTCTTCACCACCACACATTAGCAGTTAAAAAAAAAAAAAGCCAGTTTCCTTTATGAATGTCCTTGATGAAGCAAGCAGTAGGAATTACTACTTTTATTAAATCTTGACCCTTGAATACAGGTCATTTTGATGTTTTTGTCACAAAATGGGAAGTACACATGAAGCACTCTGCTCCTGCAGAGGGAAGTACAAAGGCTGTCTAGAAGAGCACTGTGTAATTGAGTTGCAAGCTGAACCAGCTGTTTTTTCATGGACTACCATTTTTACTTGAAAGAACAATTGAACTGTGGTTATTCTGACTTGGGTATTTGGCAGACATTTTCTCAAAAGTGAACAAAGTAAGTCTGTTTCTTCAAGGAAAACAATGGATAGTATTTACTGCCAATGATAAAATTTGAGCTTTCAAGCATTTTGGAAAACTTTACATCTGCCACTGTGAGCTTGACAGTTTCCCAATACTCAAAGACTTTTTTCCAAATGAGATAAGGACAGTAATGAATGTAATTTTAGGAGATCTGCCTAACTTAGTGACCAATATTTTCTAAATGGTATAAAATCATGCATGGCTAAAAGATCCATTGAAAGTGCAAGACAGACCAATGGATTTCAATGTATCAAAGTTAAAAAAAAAAAAGGTCAATGATATGATTTCAGATCTCACATTGTAACTAACTTTTAGGAAACGATGACTTGTGGAGTTTTGGTATAATATCAAAGAAGGTATTAAAATACTCCTCCCTTTTCTGTGTGAGGCCGGATCTTCTTCATAGACTTCAACCAAAACAACACTGCAACAGATTGAATACAAAAGCAAATATGAGAATCCAGCTGTCTTCTCTTAGGCTAGACATTAAAGACATTTGCATAAATGTAAAATAGTGCCACTCTTCTTACTAATCTTTTTATTTTGGAAATAGGTTTTAATAAAAATGTTATTTCAGTTAACAAGTAATGGGTTTATTATTATTTCAAAGAATTTAATATTTTAAATATCTCAATTTTAATTTTTAATACAGCAAGTATCAATAGATAAAATCCACATATACAAAAATGGGGTCCTCAATAATTTTGGGGTGCAAAATTATTCCATGTCATCTGCTAATACTTCCATGTCTCCCTCACCTCTCCACACTCATCAAGGCTTCTCTTATGTTAAAGGTAATATTATTATATTATAGCTATTCCCATGTAACCTCTTAGCACCTAGATAGTGTTGGCAAAATGTGGTCAAATCACCTGGGGCATATGTTAAAAACACAGACTCCAGAACTACTGAAATCAAAATCCTGAGGGGTGAGGTCCCAGGGATATGCACTGCAACAAACTCTCCAGCTAGTACTTGTCTGCTTATATGTGAGAACCACTTACCTAGATCATACATATTTAGTAAATAAAGTTAAGAGATTTTGATTCACTATCGGTTTATAATCCCTCAATCACTCTAAGGATCATGGTTGGACAGCATTTATTTTCATTCATAAGAGATCTCTACCAAACAATAAAAATCATCGCATACATATATTCTTTTGCAATAGTAGAGTGATAAACCTTCAAGGAAACAATGTATAAGGCAGAAGTTTATTCTCAACAATTTTTTGCTTGCCATTTCCCCCCATTTCTCTCTTTTGTTCTAAATATCAACTATGCCATTTATGCTTTAAACAAGTTGATCTCTTTTGTTCTAAATACCAACTATGCCACTTATGCTTTAAACAAGTAAGCTGAAACAATATTTCATAATAGTAACATTTACTCACAAATTTTCCATTTACCACAAGCTAGAAATGTAACGTCATTAATATCAAAATTACATTTTTCCTCTGTGAACTGTGTTAATTGTTCTGACACTATTTAAAGATGAGGAAATAAAAGAATACAGCAAATGTTGACCCAAAAGGAAATATGGAATCAACAGCAGATCAGGACTATACCTGAGATTCCCTGGGCTCTCAAGATCGTTTATAATGTAAATTAGTGAGGGTAATTTGAAACAGAAGTGGGATTACACTAGATTTGTAACAGATCTAAAAATACTAGAGGAAAGTGCGGGAGAAATTACTCTGGAATTGGATACTGTATGTGGCTGACGAAGTACCACAATACAAACATGGGTGTTATTATTTTCAAGTGTTTTGAAAACATCATTGTATCTGACCCACAGTCTTGTTCAGCAGTGAAACTGAACAAAAAGACATTCTTAACCTTTTGGGGGCACAGAATTCTTTGGCGTTCTGATGAAACTTGAGGATATAGGCCCATGCATACAACATTTGTTATACTTTGATGTGGTTCATGATCCCCTGAAGCCCACTTAGGGAGCCCCTGAGGCCCTGTAGACTTCAGGTGAAGAATCCCTGGCCCCAGAGTATGCTCGAACTGGACCAGCTAATAGACCCAATTTATCTTACAAATAAGGAATACGATCCTTGTCAGTCTTTACTGCCCCTTAAGAAACTTAGGGCTGTCTTAGCAATTGCCTAGGACAGTGAAGAATTTCTAATGAAAATAATGGAAAGATGTTACATGACAGCAAAACATCATGAATACAACAAAATAACATCTTTCTCAGTACAGTGAGAATATGCTAATCAGTTCTACATTTCCCGAATTCATTAATCCTATGATGACCAAGTAAGCTAAAACCAAAAAAGCAAGATACACAATTTAATAAATAGGGCAGAATTTATAAGGCGAGTGGGACAGACTATTTTACTATCTGAAATGGGTTCTTGAATCACAGGAGTACCTTTTTATTAGCTCTTTAAATTAATAAGCTTTATAAATGACACTTGCACACATGTAGCGGCAACACTATAGGACATAACACATCTTAAGTACAATCACAAATGTGCACCAGTATTGTTATCCAAGACTGAAAACAGAACAATCTTGCAAGTGTTTCATAGAAGGCAAAATCTTTCTAAGATACCTAAGTTTAAATTAAAAAAAAAAGAAAAGTAAACAGGTTGTCTTAATCAGAACCATAAAATACCTCATTCAATGTATGCATTTGTACCACAATGGTCATTCAATGATTCTACTCTTTAATAGCTTTTTTGGTCTAAAAGTTATGTAGGTCAAATCTCCTCACTAAGAATTGCTACTTCATTTCAATGGACTGTTGTTTAAGTCCACTGAAGGGTGCTCACAGTTGCCACTGGAAGATCTCAAATAAATCAGACACAGGAAAAGAGGAGAAACAGAGGAGGAGAAAAAAGATAAGGAGTCCTCGGAGGACAGAGACAGCAGAGAAACCAAGGTAATAAGCATTGCTGGAAATTAAGTGGCTCCCCCATCAGCTGTGACCTCAACACAAAGCATCCTCCTCTCACTGATCCTGAGGAAGTTCTCTACTTCCCCAGGCACTGTTCCAGAGCTTTACTCCACACCACTTTAGATCCTCTACCATGGTCTTCCAACAGAGGTACACGGATATTCTCAAGAGGTATGACAGCAAAGGTTTTGTAAATCTATTTCCAGGTCCTTAATTTCCAAATGCCCTCTTTCCTAAAACCAGGATTCAGGCTTTCCTTTCACTTCTCACTTGCTTTTTGCTACTTGAACAAGAAAAGCAGGCCTCTCACCTATCCCAAATCAATCTTAAAAAGTTACATTGCTCCAGGATGTAAATACCTCCGAGGCCCCAAAGGAACAGTTCTATGTAAAAGGAAGTCCCTGAACTCAAATCAAGAAATATTCTTCAGTGACTCCTCATTAAAGACATCCAGGTAAT